GGCTTAGATTTGGCTGGCAAAGGGGTGGATTTAAGCTGAAATTAGCCGCTGTGTTTAAGTAATGGAAACAAAGCCATGAACACAGCTGATTTTCCTTCAGGTTTGTGTGTTGCCCTGTTTTAGGGTTGGCACCTAAACAGGAAAATGCCAGTTTGTCAGGAGGGGAGGGATAGAGCAGGTCAGTACCAGTCCAGAGCACAAGAGTATTTAAAAGAAAGGAAATGGAAGGCGCTTTAAGGGAGAAGTCAAGGGTGGCAGGAGAATTCCTTAAAAGCAAAGAGAAACGTAAGTAGTGGTGACAGGGGCTGCTAGAAGACAAATGGAGGATGAAAGAGAAGAAGAGCACAAGAAGTTTGAATTACAGAAGACAGAGTCTGAGGTTAGGGGATGAACAGGAACACCCTCAGGACATCTGTGTCTTGGCAGTTTGTAGTGAAGACTTTTCAACTTTTCATTTGCTTTATCTCCTCTCTAGTGAAATGCTTGAAAAATAAAATTTTGCTGATGATGTTGGTGGGTTGGCCTTATTTTTAGTTCCGGGGTTATTGAGGTGCTTCTTTCTGTCCTCTTCACAGTCCAGGACGTTTATATTTGTAATCCCGTGGAAAAGTTATCAGAGTCCTGGGGAGTTAATTCCAGTCTATGACCTCCAGTGCAACCCATGGCGAGAAACGGGCAGAGAGCTCGACCCAGCGCCTAACTCAGATTTTATTAATTTGTGAAGAAGGGGGTGGCTAGAGGATGAGTAATGGCGAGAATGGCTTACATGAGTATAGAGAGCTCAGCTAGCTGGGAGGCCAGTAAACACTTCCTCAATAAGCAGAAAGAAGGATATGCAGAAAGACCAATCGGAGGTAGCATTTAATGTTAAGGGGGCGGTGCTTCAGCTCTGAGGTGCAAGCTTTTCTGCCCTGGGAAGTCATGGTCTCTTATCTTGAGACTCAACCCAGGGACAGTCCTGGAGCAGTACCTCTGCCAACCCATGTGCTCACCCATTCAAAGGGAGACACTGAAAGCCAGGAAACAGTGAGTTGGCTCCCAAGATCACACAGCAGCACTTCAGCCAGCCCTTTTACATTGTTTAGAGCCAACTGAAGGGAAAAGAAAATACCTTAGCCAGCTCTGTACATATCAGCACACAGAGACAGGGCCAGGCTTAGCTAAAGTGGAGGGAATTTACAAAAGTTTGAATATTTTCTCACTTCAAGCACTTGATTTTCCACATTTCTGCTTGGTTGGGTCTTTGGTAATCAGGGAGAACAGTGCCCTTCTCCACAACAGGCCTCAGCAAGTGCTAAAGAGATCCTAACACGTGAGACTGAGAGGTCTGAAGGGTCAGTCAACAAGCACACAGGACACTGTGGGAAGTGGTTCTGATTCCTGGCAGCTGGACTCAGTGAGTGGCATACAGCTTTGGTGGCAATCTGGTGGCTTCATTTGAACAACACTAAACTATCTGTCTGCCCCAAACATTGCCAAAATGATAAAGTGAAATGTCTGTTTTGATCAAGATTTGGGGTTTTTATGAAATAAAAATATAATGTGATCTTATAGTCATGTAGAACATATGTTTGCAGCTAAGAATGAGGGGCGATCTTTGCTTATTGATTATTTGGGTCATGGTTCAGTTGGAGAGAACACATTTCATGGACTCTGACAAGTCTCCTTCCACTGGTTTCCCTTAGCTTGCTTGCTTTCTTTCTTTCTTTCTTTCTTTCTTTCTTTCTTTCTTTCTTTCTTTCTTTCTCCTTCTCTCCCTCCCCCTCTTCTCATTCTCTTTCTTTCTTTTTTAAAAAATTTTTCCTTCCTGTTATGGTTTGTGTCTAGATGTCCCCCCAAAGCCTCATGCAGCTATGGGGATGGACTTTTGGGGGGATGGATTTTTCAGAGGTGGCTGGATCTGGAGTGTGTGATGCTGGGCTTGGAGGTGTATGATCATTCTACTGATTGGTTTGGCACCATGCTAATCCTCACAGCTTGGATAGAGGAGGAAAGGGGCAGAAAGGCGCTATGACAGTCAATGATTGATTTTGCTGTCTTCTTCCTGCCATGAACTTTTCTCTGCCATGTGTTGCCCTGCCTTGAAGCCAGCCCATTATAGACTGAAGCTTCTTCAAATTGTATTTTATCTCAGCAAGGAGAAAAGTAACTGCAGTCTCCTCTCTTCCTCTCCGTGGTGTTAGGTCCTCTTTGTTCTCTTTTTCTGTGTGTGTCACAGGTGAAGAAGGTACAATTGTTCACTGGGACTTCTAGGCCAGGCCAGTGATGACCATTGTATTGTTAGACATAGTAATTACCTCAAATGTCACCAATGTGACTAAATTTTCGACTTAGTTTAATTTAAACTGACTTAGATTTTAAAATGAAAACTGTAAACATCACTATTCACAGTTTTACTGCTTTAGAAAGACTACATTTTACTACATACTGAAAGTTTACCAGTGAATTGTGATGTGCTAAAAGTGTAAAATGCATGCTAGTATCAAAAATTTCGTATAAAGCATCCATGATGAAATAATGCTTTAAATAATTGATACAAATGAAATAAATTATTCAAATTAATACTACCTGTTTACAGTCATTTAATGTGGCTACTAGAACATTTAAAGTAATATATATGGCTCTAATGAATTCTAGTGAACTGCACCTTTTAGATTCTCAACATTCCTCAGGATGGAGAACACAGTATTGTTATTATTATTATTATTATTAATTATTATTATTAGGTACCAGGGATCAAACTCACAATGTCCTGCCTGCCAGGTAGGTGCTGTGCCACTGAGCTCTCTCCCTGGCCCAATGGAGAACATATTAAATATGAACAAGTCATTCTTTTAGATCTATAGGTCATCTTTCATGGCATCATCAAAGCCAAGATAACCCCTCCCTCCAGGCAGAGATAACAAAGGACAGGGAAGACTCCATCTTGAGCCATCACTAAGAATATCATCAGATTAAGGTGCCTTTAGGTGGGCAGGCGTTGATAGTTGGAAAACAAAGCAGGGATGAGCAGACTGGCGAATGCCTCGGGTAACAGAACATTTTCAAGAGAGCTACTTGAGTGCTGATTTAAGGAGGTACTTCAACGTGGGTCTCTATTTGTTCCTGGAAAGGTAAGAGCACTATAGACAAAAGGCAAGTTGATTAGATGGTAGAAAACGAGTTTTTGGATGGATTGAAAGTGAGCCCTCTGCTGGAGGTACCTGTTTAAAACAATGACACCACGATATCTCATCCAGTACCAGGTATCTTCTTCCAGATCCTGTTCATGTCTGTGTCACAGACCTGAAGATCCTTTCTTTGGTGCTGCAGCTGCTCCAGGCCCCCTCTGGCCTGTGAGGGCGACCTCAGTGGCCCAGAGATAGCTAGGTAGAGGGGAACATCTCCTGTGGCCTTCTAGCGTCCCCAAGTGTAGAATTTTTGTGCTCATCCATGTCATTTAAACACACTGATACTGTTTTAGATATTTATCGTGTCTGATCTTCTCATTTTGAGAGAGAGACAGAGACAGAGACAGAGGGACAGAGATAGAGAAAGGGGCTTTATACAGGGTCAGCCACCAGTCAGAGTGAGCCAAAAGACTAGAAACAGAACCCACAATGGGAATCCTGTTCAATTGTTATCCAAATCACTTCACTAGCAACTTGGTTGCTTTCTGGTTGTTTTTGCAGTGTTATGAGTCAAGTTCAGGGTATTACGCATGCAAGACAAGGGCTGTGCCACCAAACACCCTCAGTTCCGGTTACATCATTTCTAATTTATGGTGCCAGAGTAATTCTAACTTTCACTTTTGAGTTTCTGCTTTGTAATGGTGATCTGATTATTGTTTAGTTAATCCACGATGTCTGTCTTTCTTTCTTTCTTTCTTTGTTCCTTCCTTCCTTCCTTCCTTCCTTCTTTTCATTCTTCTTTCTTTTTCTTTCCTTTTTTTATGTTATTGGAGATTGAACCCAGGGCCTTCATGCTAAACTACAGCCCTCCCCTCTCCCCCATGCTTCTCTTTTTTTTAAGACTAAATCTTGCTATGTAGTTTAGGCTGTCTTTCAATTATTATCTAGCCCAGACTGGCCTTGAACTTGCAGTGATCCTCCTGCCTCAGCCTCTCGAGTGCTGGGATCACAGGCATACACCGCTACACCTGGCCATAGTCCCTCCTTTCATTTCTTATTGAGTCCGAGCCTTCCCAAGGCTGGGTTCAAATATGAGGTCCTCCGCCTCAGTATCCCAAAGCATTAGAACTGAAGGTGGAGGCACCTACCCAGGAGCATTTTCAACTTTGTTTTATTTTATTTAGTTAGTTTTTTTTGAGGGCAACTGAGGGCAAGAATGCCCAGTGGGCCTCTGCCCAGCTCCACAAATGAAGCATTTTAATCACAGGCTCTCCAGGTTCCAGGCCCTGGCAGCCTTGTCCCAGCCTAGGGGAGAGGAGGGCCGACTCCAGGGGAGCCACAGAGGCTGGTCCTGGGCACTCTTGGGTTCTGAGTGGCCGGGCCAGGCAGACAGCAAATTCATGAGGCCCTGGCCCACTGGAGAAGGCAGCATGGGTCACTCTGGAGGTCCAGCTCCCAGCGATCAGGATGGGGTCAGCATTACCACAGCTCTGTTCATAGAACAGCAGAGCCTCTGGGGTGTCAGACTGGGGTGTGCACGGGCCTTGTAGATCATCCTCCCCTCTACCCAGTTTCTGGCCTTTGCACTCACTCGGGAAGGATCAAGGCACTGGTGATGTGTCTCAAAGTAGGGGGCAGCGGCACCTATAGGGATGGCACAAAAAGAAAGGTGCAGAGAGCTGGGGGCAGGGTTGCTAACCTGAGCACAGGGCTCCGGGCGCCAGGTGCAGAGTGCAAGCCAGCAGGTCCCACCTGCTGCTGCAAGTGGCTTTTGGTACGGAGAGAGATCAGGTGGGGGAAGTGCTGGCTGCCAGCCTTGAGTTTTAAGTATGTCCTTGTCACAGACAAAATGCACTTTGGAAGAGTTTTAGGGCTAAAAATGACAGCCAATTTTCACTTTTGTTCCCATTTTTTATTAGTGCATATTTTTGATGCATAATAGATACATTCTTCCTGGGGAATGGCATATATACATATCACCTGTTGAACCTTTTCAGTAAAATTTCTCAGTTCTTGCAAACTGTGAGGTAAGGAAGTCTTCACACAGAACATTATTTACCCCTCGCCTGAAAAGAGTTCCCAGCTGACCGTCAGCAATGTTCCTTGGCAAAAGAAAGAGGTAGATAACACTATTGTAAAAAATAAATTTAAAATTAAATGAATGAAAATTAAATGCTATTTTTAAATTCTTCAGAATTGATATCCAAATAAATACCTTGTCTTGATTGTCAGAACTGATATCCAAATAAATACCTTACAAACCAAACTTTTGTCTCCTAAAATTATAAAATGAAATATTACTTGCGAACAATTGTTCATACTTTCTTAAAAACAAAAAAGTGTCATGAACGGAAGTGTTTCTACAGAGCATGTCATAGGTAGTATCTAAAAACTGTGGCTATTTCATGAACTTATGCTGTATCATTTCACTCATTTTTCCAGCGAAGAGAGACCCCAGGGTGGGCTGTGACATGCGTGGTGTTCATGCTTGTCATCTACACGGGGTTATTTGCACATGAAATCTTGTGGATGGGAGATGAAACTGTGTGATTTATAAGCAAAATAAAATCCTCATGCTCTGCACGTCAGATGTCTGGCTGATTTATAAGCCATTCGAAGCCCATGCTGTAAGGCAAGGAGACAATTCTGTGGCTGTGTGCGTCAGCTCTGCAGCCAGCCTCCCTGCGGTGCTCAGGGTGCTGACCTTCATTTTCTCCGCTGGGACTTCCTCTCCTTTGGCTGTTTTAAAAACGTTATTCCTATTTCCGTCACACGGTCGCCTTTTAGTCTGTCTTGCAAGAAGGTGACATCAGCAGCCAAGTGAACCTAGGGGAGAAAGTCAGACCTTTAAAAGAAAAGAAAAGAAAACCTCTCAAGCTTTCTCAGTCTCTTTTCACACCCTTTAGCATGCTCTGCGTGCACAGGTATACAGGAAAGCCTCGTGCAGATGAGGGCCTGGCAGGACGACCAAAGACTGTTAAAGGGTTGCTCTCAAGGTGATTTGCCATAGGTCATTGTCATTAGCTAAACAACACAGCCACTTACTTGAGCGGCACTTAGCAATCACTTATGGCTTTAGGGATCTACGAAAAAACATCAACTATGTAAATTACAAATACAAATTAAAGACTGAAATTATAGATGTGCATATTTAACATCCGGGCCTTCTCTCTCTTCATGAAGCATTTCCCACGTCTTTCAGGGTTTTCTTCTCTAGTCATTAAGATGTGTCCACATAAGGCTGGCAGGATATTGCTGACCCACCCTAACAGGGTATTTATTCAGTTATTTCAACTCAATAAATAAGATAAATAAATGAAAGTACCTACTAGAGACAAAGAATAAATGTTCTGTAAACTCTGTAGCTCTCAAAATCATCTAGTAACAAATGCTGGTGGGGCTTTGGGGAAAAATGAACACTTTTGCACTGTTGGTGGGAGTACAGACTGATGCAACCACTGTGGAAATCAGTGTGGCGATTACTCAAAAACTAGGATTGGAAGTCCCATTTGGCACAGCTATCCCATTCTGGGCATTTTTTCAGAAGAATTGAAAACATCATGACACAGTGATATACATGCACCTGTGTTTATAGTAGTTATTTGTAATAGCTAAATCTTGGAAATAGCCCAAATGCCCATCAACTGAAGAGTGGAGAAAAAAAATATGGTCTTCTCATACAATGGAATACTACTCAACTATAAATAAAGATAAACTTGAGGCTGTATAGGTAAATGGATGCAATTAGAGAGCATACTCATTGTGAAATAAATCAAACTTCCATGGTTGTCTCCCTAGTGTAAGAAACTGAAAGAGTAAATAAGATCCAAAAGGTACAACAGATATTTTGTAAAATGGAAAGAGACTGCTCAACTGGGATAGAGGAAAGGAGAAAAGAAGGAAGGGAAATATGTATATATGATATATATCTATATCTATATATAATAGCTAAGCAAATTGTACTGCTCATTCTATTAATTCATTGAGAGGAACAGTTAGTGCTTATATTGTTTGATCAATTTAGCATGCCTATATCTGCTAATCTGAGCAACTATTTTGAAGATAATATGCAATATAATAAACATTGTTAATTTCCTACTATCTTGTTTTGAAATTCTATATGATTTTTATTGTTTTTTTCTTTTATTTTTTTAAATAAAAAATTAAGGCAAACAAAGTGAAAAATGCCTAGATCTAGCAGATGATGAATTAGTATTTATTGATGCTTATCTTACGCATTTCCTTCCTTCATGAAAGAATTCTAATCTAGAATTTGATAAAACAGATCTACATAGGCCAAATTATCCAGCTCCCATGGTTTGCAAAACCAATTGGTTCTATCAACCAATAGAAGGACGCAGATTGCAAGGGGACAATATTTAAGTTAAATTTATCCTCTACTTTATCTCCCATAATGTTTTTTATGTCTTTGTCGAAACCTGACAGAAAATTAAAATAACAAGGAAACTGTTGAAGCTTTTTGGATTCTTAGGTCCCTGTGAGGTCTGACACCTGCTTGTCATTCAATATATATAATAATAATCCACTGCTGTCTGTAAACCCTGGAAACTTCTTTACCTGTTTTTCATTTAGTTTTATGGTTTCTCCCTTTGCCTGTGAGCTCCCAGAATTCTCTTTCCTTTCCTCAATATTATGCTCATTGGTGTAGACAAGCTTCAAAAAAATGTTAGGATCAAAGCATGGAGGGATGTGTGAGGAATATATCATTTCTATAGCTTCACGCTTTTGGATTGATTGTGACTTTATCTTTCCCCTAATTACCATGAATAATTTAAAGCTATAAGCACAGGGGATCGTTATCAAGTAGCTTAATACATGTCTAGGGTTTGTCTACCACCCGGCATCTTAATAGTGAAGATTTTGAAAATAAGAATGTTAGCCCAGTCTGACAACTTGGCCGCATGTGTCTTAAGCTGTGAAAGATTCTGCACCACCATGTCCCAGCTGAGCTGCTCCCAGGCTTCTGATTCTCTGCAAGCATGAGAGATAATAAATGTTCGCTATCTTCAGTTGCTATATTCTGAAGTAGTTCCTTACACTGCACCGAGCAGCTGTGCACCTGGTAAAAGAAACACATGTTACCATTTCCAGGGCCCCTCTGATGATCCCGCAGAGTAAGTTGCAGTAGCACAGAGAAGATCGTCCAGCAGGGAGCTCTTCCACAAACTCTGATAGAGGGTTCTTGTCTAGAATCAGTGAAAATGCATTTTTGCTTGAATTGTTACAGGTGACACTTGGCGTAACTCCCAAGTACATCTTGAAAGCAACCTGATAAAGATTAAAAAAAAAAACAATTACTGTCACTTGATCTAATACAAACATCTATTAACAGGACAACCAAATACCCTGTTCCAGGTATCTCAGCCTAACTATTAAGCAGATAAGAGTGTGCAATCAGCACTTCTGGGGTCACATCTAACTTTGCAACTTATCATGTAAAAGAAAATGCCCCCCCCCCACCAAAGCTAGTGTCCTTCAGTTTATGGTTGCCCAGGTAACAGTTCCTGTTCCACTTCTGGTTGCTTCTGGTCTCTTAGATACAGCTGGTGACTCACTGCGATGCACTTTGTATAAACCAATCCCCAATTGACAAGCCATTCTGCTTCTGTACTTCCTGCTTGCCTATCCTACATACGCCCTAGACCACCAGAGCTCAGGTGTGATGTTCTGGGGGTAATACCGATCAGTGTCTGTCATGTAAAATAAATCTGCCTCTAAATCCTGGGTGCAGTTTTGGTGTTTCTGTCTGTCATTGCATCCAACTCTATGCCATGGAAGAGTCTGAAATCTATCTAGGTTTTTGGAAGATCCTCCTAGTGCCTAGGAAGAGGCTGAAGTAAGAAAGAAGAAAAGGACTGCAAGATAGAACCTAGGACTGCCAAGTGTAATGAGCAAGTTAAACAGAGATCATGGTCATATTCCTGCAATGACAGGTCTCTGAGGAGGCACAAAGCGTGAACATAAAGAGCCATAGTGTGATTCCTGTTTTTGTGAAACTAGATGTTTAAAAGAAATAATGTCCAATAATGTGAGCTCCCAGTGAAGTGATGGAAACCCATTACTGCCTGTTTTTCCTAGGACTTGGAAAGATCTACAAATATAGAAATGAACATTATTGGACATTATTTCTTTTAAACATCTAGTTTCACAATGAGTAAACTGGTCCTCCGAGAAGTAAAAGAACACAATCAAGACCATAAATTGGTCCCTTGGCTCCCAGTTTAAATCCTGGATTTTTCACACAGCTCTGGACATTAAAAATTATCAATTAACAGAAATTTATCAGTTTAGGATATCACCTTTCAAATGCCTAAATTAATTTTAAAATTAAAAGCAGTGGATAGCAGAGAAATGGAAACTATTTTCTTAAATTATTTGTAATTTGAAGTACTAAGAATGATCTTTCTCTTTTTTTTCTTTCATTCTTTGCACAGATACTCACTGTACACTGGCTGATTAGCAAGTCCCTGGCAGATGGTGGGAGTTCAGTAGCCATTTATAGAGCAAATTATTGAATGAATATCTAATCTATTTTTGATAACATGCTGAGACCCAGAATACTTGGGTACTGAGTGAGCCTTGCTAGGGAGGCAAGCTGAAGAAGCAATAGAGCAAAGACGTCCTACACAGTAGGGACCTGTCACAGCAGGACACTCCACCTCCACGGGAGGCTCACGGGATGTCTGTATCAGTCAGCTTGTGGACGATGGGGAACCCTAAAGATGTGAACTGGCAAAGGCAGAATTAGATTTCTGTTTTAGAGGACTCTCCTTCATGTTGCATGGAAGAAGAATTTAGGGTTAGAGGAGGTGAGCACGAGGTCAGGGGGAGATAAACCAGTCAAGAGCTCACCATGATAGTCTAGGAAGGAAATCATGAGGACTCGTTTTGTTTTTTCTTGAAACCTCAATCTTTCCTTAAACATTCCCATATAAATTTCAAATATCACCAATACTCAAATGGTTTAATTTTCTAATACTACCCAGTTTTTAAAACTTGGAATCCCTGCTCCCAAATCTGAAATCTTGTAGCAAGAGAAAAAACTTTCATTGTGAAACTCTGGGTTTGGAGATCACATTGAGCTCCCAGTGAAGTGATGGAAACCCATTACTGCTCTGTTGATTTATCTTGCTGTAAAAGTTCCAGGCTATTACTTGTACAAGAGAGAATTTCTTTCTGATTTTTTAGCTTAAGCCACATGGAAATAATACATAAAAGGAGGCTGTGCATTTTGATTTGCTCCACTCCTCAGGGTTTAGACGGCGGGGACACAGCCCAGTATCCACCAGTAGGAGGCATTATCTGAACACAGTTGGGAAATGTGCATTCCTGGGGAATGACATTGTTTTCTTATCTGGCTGAATTTAGCCTGAGACTTGAGGATGTTTTTTCTAATGAACAAAGAGCTCCACCCTCATCGCTGCCACAGCCACAGCCACGGCCTCTGCGTCAAAGGCAAAGGTAAAGCATTTTCCAGGAACTCTCTGTGCACCTCCAGCATGGATGCTTTTCAGCCCATCGTCAAATTCTTTCTTAACCAGAGAACTGCAATTGGCTACAGCTTCATGGCTCTGCTGACTCTGGGCAGCGAGAGGCTCTTCTCCCTCGTGGCTTTTAAGTGCCCCTGCAGCAATGAGAACATGGCTTACGGGCTGGTGTTCCTTTTTGCGCCTGCCTGGGTGTTACTGATCCTAGGGTTCTTTCTGAACAACCAGGCATGGAGGCTTTTCACAGGCTGCTGTGTAAACCCCAGGAAAATCTTCCCCAAGGGCCACGGCGGTCGCTTCTTCTATGTCCTTGGCCAGATCACTCTGAGTTCACTAGTGGCTCCAGTGATGTGGCTTTCTGTGACTTTGCTTAATGGAACTTTCTATGAGTGTGCCATGAGCGGGACGAAAAGTTCCAGGATCCTGGATCTGATCTGCAAGGGCAAGCCCAAAGAGTGCTGGGAGGAACTTCACAAGGTGTCTTGTGGCAAAACCAGCATGCTGCCTGCCGACAACGAAGAAGTCAGACTATCCCTGCAAGCCCAGTCTCAGGTGAGTGCAAACTTGCCCTGGCCCAAGAGTGAACTTTTCCACCTGTCCTACTTTCAGCCAGGGCTGAGCCTGAATATGCCAGGGTATTTTGAAACTAAGTGCAAATAACGTGATGTTCCAGTAACATTAGGACAATCTCGGGGAGGGTTTTCTGGACTCTGGCTGGCTCAGTAGAATTGCTGATTGGACTGTATCTTTCCGTTTCCAGAAAGAAAGTATCCTTTGGGTTATGCACATGTAAATACTTAGGTACTTTAAAACTGTCTCTCTGGATTGACTTTTGTAAATAATGCATAGCATTAAATCATGAACTGAGTGTTAATGGCTGACTGTACTTAAAAATTACTACTTTCTATTATTCATTTAAACCGGTTCCTCAGAGAAACACAAACAAATGTGTGCCTATTAAAATACAGCTGAAAGAAATAAACTAATATTTTTAAAAGCTGCATGAAATATAATTAGTGTAGCAATTCCCTTGAATGGTTTTGAGTCACTGCTGTTTCTATGGACAGACACTGTGGAGATTGAGAATTCCCCATTTAAGCTCTGACTTAGGATCTTTAAATAGCTGTCAGGGAAAAGTGGCCGTATTCTCCAGAGAGATTAGGTCTTTTATTCAATGTGCTGTTGAACTAAAGAAGTTCTTACGTTACTTGAGACTCTCAAAATTCAGGCTTATTTAGCAGGAGGAAATCATAGCTTCACCTAATTGGTGTAGAGAAGTAGGTTGTCAGCTCTCCAGATAACCTGAACACAAATCCAATGAATAAGCCTTGGATTTAGGAAAAGACAGACATCCTACATGCATTCCCCAAACCAAAACAAGCAGTCCCTGAAAATAAACAGATTTGCATTTGTCAGGAATAATATTTGTTTCAAGGTAAATGAACCAAAGTGGTATACTTTTAATTTTTCAATAAGGCGTTGGATTTATAACATATCAAGCAAAGTCTGTTCTTAAAATCATATATTCTAAAGCCGTTGACAGTGAAGTCATATTCTCTCCATGGACCAATAGGCCAAAATGTCTTTTCTTCAGTGTGCAAAGCACATTCTAGATAAAACATATAAGGGTCCCTTTTGTGGAAGGAAGGTATTAATTACAAATGTTATGACAAAATGAATAATTTGTCATAGTCATCAGGCATCCAGGTCCAATCAGGCAGTGCCACACACACACACTTATCACTGTGTAAGCTTTTCTTCTCTAAACACAGACACAAGACTTTAAATCATGCTCATTCTGTCATAGCAGTCACCTGTTGACTTTTCAGCAGAATGAGAAAGACCTGGGGCTGATTCCTATGGGAGGAGACCTGAGAGAGCTGTGACAACAGCAGGTGCTGACCGTGACGCTCAGATAGGCGGCAAGTAACACACAGTCTGGGCCAGTACCTGGGCGTGTGGGTGGGGAAAAGTACATTCACCTGTGGGTGGAGTAGGAGCACGGGAAACTCAGCTGGATGAATCTCCATTCTTATGGGTGCTAGACTGGAGCTGTAGAGAGAGCTCAGCTGTGGAGGTGAGCTTGGGATAGTGTGGCGTACCATCCTATAGTCCTGTAGGTCCTTGGAGTACTGGAAGGTTTACAGCCAATGGACATAAATGGACATAAGACTTATAACAGGTATTTCAAGTTGATGAGAAAAATTTTAGGGTTTGGGGAAGGAGGCTGATGCGAAATGGGGTACAACTGAGCACTCCCTTGAGGGGGCACCCATCACACTCTTGTTGGGCCTGGGGTATAGTGATGGGGGTAGTAGGATGGCAGATGTAGTTTTTTTTTTTTTTTTTTTTTTTTGTCTTTTTCCTTTTTATCGGTACCGGGGATGGAACTCACGACTGCCTGCTTGCAAGGCAGGCGATTATGTCGCTGAGCTAAACCTCCAGACCCTTCAGATGAAGTTTCAATCAGGACTCCAATGGCCCGATGCTAAGGTCATGCAGAGGCGGAAAGGCATCAGAAGTCGATCACATAGTTTTGTAACTCAACTACAGTTAGCTCAGATTCTGAGAAAAGATAGCCAAGAAGAGGACCAGCTGTGGAGATCAAGGAAGGCAGGTGATGAAATAGAAAGGAAGACCTGAGGTAGACAACTACAAGTCCAGGAATGATGTAAGCTAAAGACGAACACTTTCCCATGACAGTAGCTGTACCTAACTCACAAATCGTAGGAACAGAAGGAGATTTTGAATTCAGCAATGCTTTTACACAAATGAATATACATTTGAAAGATGGCAGCAGGTGATAGTAACTGCCCTCACTGACGGCACTTGTGTGTCCAGCATTATTTGCTAGATTCCCCCAAATACCCTCCGAGATGGGGCACCCTCATCTTACATTTGAGAAACAGAGACATAGTAAGGGGAAAAGAAGGTTTACAGCCAGCTAACACCCATCCAAGGTAAGTGTTCACACGAAGTATAAGAGCCTTCCCTGCAGCCTCACGTCTGAGCCAGATTTTGGAGCCCTTGACCTGGATGGAGCACATTTGCAGTTCTGCTAGGGTCTAAATGGATTCATTCACAGTTTACTGTTTCTATTCTCAAATGAGCCCATCTATTAAAGAATACTAAGGTCATTCGATGTTTTCAAAGAGATCTGTTAGTTGGGCAAATATAAATTTAATACCATCTATAAAAAATAAGCTGAACCACAAAAAATATGTAGAAGATGTGATGAGCTATGGAGCCTTTCTTTTTAAAATTAACAGCAAAACAAAACAGAAGCATAGGTACATTTGTATTATGAAAAGAGTTTGTTTTTTAATTGCTAAACTTCAGAACAAATAATCTTCATGGTTTGGAGTGATGTTTTTTTCTTAGCATCTACACAGACTTTAAATTCTGAGAGCTTTGCCCTCCTTTGTGCTGGGTTTGTCTCTCTTTGCCACAGTGAGGAGTGGCCTTTGTCCCAGAAGGTGCTACTCTGTCACCAGCGTCACATGGGAAAACTGAGCCGCTAGCCTTATATGCGTTTGTCACTGCCTGAGAATATATGGCTAATAAATTGGTCAGGTGTGCTCAGAAGGCCACAGTGACTCCTACAGAATTCACTTCTCTAAAGGATAACACTATTTGGGAATTAAATTTATCCAATTCCTGAACGATTCACATATTTTTTTTTTTACTGTTTTCCATTTGCTGGCTTTCTGCTTATTTATGGTTGTCATAGCAACTGTATTGGATAAGAGAATAAATATTAGATCAACTTTATTTTGGTTGACTAAAAAGTACTTTCCAATCACCATAAATGATTTCAAATGACGTAAGATAAGGACTGTGGTGTTGATTTAGCTATACACTTTCCAGTAATACTGCCTCAGTGCCCTGAGATGTGATTTTGCTTTCACATGTCCTCAATATCTGTTTCTTCCTAAGATTTTAGGATGGTTCCTGATTTGTTCAGCATCTTTCTTCTCTCTGCTCACCACTTGCTATGCGCGCTGCCGGTCTAAAGTTAGCTATCTGCAGCTGAGTTTTTGGAAGACGTATGAACAAAAGGAAAAGGAGCATTTGGAAAACACATTTGTGGACTACGCTGACAAGCTGAGTGAGAGGAACCTGAAATGCTTTTTTGAAAACAAGAGGCCAGATGCCTTTCCCCTGCCCACCTTTGCCGCCTGGGAGGCTGCTTCGGAGCTGCATTCTTTCCACACAAGCAAGCAGCATTACAGCACCCTCCACAAGGTGGTGGATGATGGTCTGGAGCCCTGCCCCCAGGATGCTGAGACTTCGATGATTCTCGTAGGCACTGCCCAGGATCTGTAGCTGCTACCCTGCCACGGACTCACAGCGCTCAGCAGTGCATCTGTTCTGACAGCCTCCAGGGGAACCCACACCAGGCTCACATCTCTGTATTTTTTTCTGTGACAAAAAGGGAAACGTCTTTGAAGTTCTCAAGCACAGTAAATGTCAGGATGTGATCAAGCTGACGCAGATAATGAGCCTGCCTGGATGAAGGACTGGGTGCAGGAGGGGCAACCATTGGTCCAACTTCTAAGATTTTACGATTTAACAAATAGCTTTATGCAAGACGCTCTGCCACTCTGTAAATATGATTCACGCATTCTGGAGGCTGAAGCAGTCACTTTGGAGGGAGCTAGATACTCTGACTGTGGATGACAGGATGCAGTGACATCTGAGGCATTGTCAGTGGGAGTCCTGGAGTTGTACAAATCCAGCCTGATGTGACCTGTGCCTTTTAAGGCATGTGAAATTCTCCCATTTAAAATTCTTTCCCTTAGAGTCAAAAGGCCCCAGTTCTCAAGAATAACCAGCTACAAGAACATGATGTGTGAAATCCGAAGGTCTCTCTATGCACTCACTGTGTGCTGGAAGACCATCCCTGGAGGGGAGACATATCATAGTGTTGTGGACCCTGGACACCACTGCCTTCACAGAGAAGTTTCAGTTTCTACACACATATATGACTGCACCGATATAAATACAAATAATATACATTTAAACACTTTGCTCAACCTAAAGGTTCATTTATTATCTTCTAATTTAAATTAAAAACATTCTCATGGGCCCTCATGTGGCACACTGCCTAGTATGCTACAAGTATGTCTCAGTCAGTCTGAGTTACTATAACACAATGCCACAGCCTGGGAAGCTTATAAACAACCCAGATGCATTTCTCACAGTTCTACAGATTGGGAATTCTGAGATCAGGTCACTGCATGTTTGTGTTCTAGTGAGGGCCCCCTTCAATTTGCAGATTGCTGGATCCTTGCTGAATCCACCCACAGTGGGAAGAACCATAAGTTCCCTGGGATAGGACACTGATCCCATGTCTGAAGGCTCTTCCCATATGATATAATTACCACTCAAGCCTTGGAGTTTAAGGTCTCGACACATGAGTGGGGTGGAGTGTTACAAATATTAATACTGTAGCAGGGTAAACTGTTCTGACTCAAGTATTACTAGCACCAAACTATTTTGCAGTTTTGCATTTATCAAAAATGATGCAAATTTTGCACTCTACTATGTGATATACATTCACACTGGTGAGTGTGTGTCTGTGTCCACATGCCTGTATGCAAAGTTCTCCTTGAGTGGAATTACGCTTCAGTAAGGACAGGCCCGGTTTTTTACTGTGGCTCACCCCTGGCATCACTGGAAGCCATAGCTGCAGGTTTGAGAAAGCTGGATATTAGCCCCTTATTACCATAAACCATGATGACAAACTGGGGCTCCGACCCTATAGAGCCAATCTATGACACTGTGTCTTATTAGAAGAAACTTGTGCTCTGTCTTCATGCTCACTCCTGTCACGGAATTTCTACCAGCCTTGGGGTCACCACGATGTGCCTTTTTGTATACCAATGAGATGACAGCTGTGGGATGGGAACTGGTTGCCGGAGGAATTGCCATGTGATTACAAGGTTGAAACTTTTAGCCCTATCCTCAAACCTCCAGGGAATAGAGAGGGGCTGATCATTGAGTTGGTCACCTTGGCCATTATGGTAATCAATCATGCCAACGTAAGGAAGCCTCCACAAAAACTCTCCAAAGGTCAGGATTCTGAGAGCTCTAACACATGGAGGGTAGGATCTGCAGAGGAGGCACAGAAACCCTCTGACCCTTCTGCCCACACTTGGCTCTAAGCATTGCTGCCATTAGGCTGTGCCTGACTTGTGTGGTATGTGAAGCAAGTAACAGTAAGCTAAGCACTTTCCTGAGAGCTGAGAGACACCCTTGCATATAATGGAGCCTGAGGAAGGGCTCATGAGAAACTGATTCACAGGGGAAGGAGGGAGGGAGAAGATTAGATACGAGAGGGGCAGAAGAGATGCAATAAAGAAAGAAAAAATTCATCAGAGAGAAATGCTTCTTTTTAGCCCTTCTTGGCTTGGAGCTCCTCTTCCCTTGAGTGTCTGCCAACTTGGAAAAAAGCAGATGGGAACCAGCCTCACTCTGTCCATCTCCTGGGCTGGGTGAAAGGTTAGAGAGGCAGTTCTACGAAAGTGGCTTAGTTACAGCAAGCTGCCAGTGATGGAGCTGGCTCTGAGCACCCGAACCCCAGAGGCTTTCTGCAGTTAGATAGTGCACACTCATGGCAATCACTGCCTCATTCAGGAAGATTCATGCTGATTAAAAAGAAGCCAGCAGCCTCGGGTACTTTTTAACTGCAGCTTAGTAAGCAGCAGAGTAGCTCACCCTCCTATTCCGAGCATGACTCATCCTAGCATGAGTTGGGTGCTTCTCCTGACTCCTGGTCTTAATTCCTCCAGAACACTGCTTAAACTCAGAAAGGAAAGCAGGTGCAAGGAATTGTATCTGTCAGGGCTAACTATGGAGGCAATGGATGGAGACAGGGTGGACCAGTTGGTGTCTGCCCTTGATGTCCCTAGGAACAGGTACCCACCAAGAGGCATGAAAGCCAGCTGGTTTTGGTAGGGGAAATTTCAGAAGAGTGGACAGTTGGTTGCCTTAGGTTGGGCAAGCGATGTTTAATACAGGAAGCCATGCATAAGTGACTTATTAGTAAGGAATGTGCTCAAGAGAAACCTGCTAGCAGGATGGACACAAGGAAGAGTGAGGTTTCAAGTGAAGGCTCAGTCTGCTGGGGAATTAAGGGTCACTGGCACCTTTCCCTGGGGTCTATAGACTGCTAACTAGGGCTTCTTCCCCAAGGGGAACTGGGAGTTTTGGTGTGCCTGTGAGTCATTCCTGAGTAGCGGTGGTCCAGGGGGTGACCCTCCAGAAAGGCTTGCACCACAGTAACTGAATGATGGACATCCTGAAATTAAGTATCTGGAGAGGATGTGGAAGGGTCCCATTCAAATCTGCTATTCCGGCCTCCTTTAGGTCTAGAAGCGAAGCATACAGCAACAACCCTGGACTACAGCCAATCAGAGTCCAGGTCGACTTGCTTTTTAAACTTCTAATTTCCTTTAAAACCCAAAGACAATAAATGTGGGTACCATGTCTTCTTGTATGGCCATTGTTCTAATACATAAAGGAAAAGGGGAGGAGAATGCTCAGTGGTATACCTTGATGTATTTGCATACAAGGAATATATACAAAGAAAAAAATTCAATGACATTTAACACCTATTTCATGAAAATTATCCTATGAATAAACTGTGTATAAATGTAAAGGATTCTTTTTTTTTTTTTCCTGTGAAGTTCTTACTTGCTTGGTCAGACTGTGCTGATAGACAGCAGGTTTTCAACACACTCAGCCTTATTCATATCCAGTGGAGAAAGGGAAAAAAAGTTTTTATCAAAGAATATAAAAATAGACATTGATAGAGAAATTGTTACATAATTCAGTGCATTGTTGCTTTAAGAAATACTTTGATGTGTGTATTGTGTGTGTGTCCAAGATAATGTTTCAAAAATATGTAAGTTTTCTACTTGGGACCTTTGAAACGTTACTGAAATGTGTACATTTAACAGGAAAATGATGATGTTACTGATTTCAAGTATGGTACTTAATTTCAATTAAACATAGTACCCTATTTCAGATTTACTGTAAACATTGGTTAAGATTCTAGAGTTTCCAGGAAACTGCCATCTCTCCTCTCTTCTCAGCTGGTCTATTTTAACTAACTTGAGACAAATTCCCGTATAGAGGATAAGGTTTGTTTTCGTTCACGGTATTGAAAGTTGCAGTCCATGGCCACTTGGGCACCTTGTTCTGAGCTTGTGAGAAGGCAGGATCGCATGGCAGGATTGCACAGCGGAGCAGAAGCACCCACCTCATGATCAGGAAGTAAAAGAGAGGAAAAACAAGGAGCTGGGGTCCCAATGTCCCCTTCAAGATACACCCTAGTAATCTCAGACACCCCACTGTGCCTACTATTCCTAACATTCCCTCCAATAGCAACTGGAAACAAGTTCTTTATCCTATGGGCCTTCGAAGGGCCTTCTAACAGATGCAAGCTATTCTGTTTAGACTTTGGTGGTTCTGAATTCTCTAAGGCTTGTATCTCAGTTTCTGATGATTCTCTCTCAGTTTTCTCTGTTCTAAAAGACAGATAATAGTTTCTTTTATGAATTTACTAGTTTTTGAATTAATTAAGAAGAATCTAGATGGTTCATAGAAGAGGTTAGAAGGGAAAAGCTTGTATCACTGGCTCTCAGTATTGGCTGTGTTTTGGAATTTGGGGCAATCTCATTGCTAATCTCAATGTCTGGTACCACCCTGAAGATCCTGATATAATTATTCTGGCTTGGGACATGGACGTTGGCATTTTTTAAATCTAAAGCGATTCTAATGTGCAGGCACAAGAGAGAGCTCTACAAGACTCTACGTGAGAAGTTCATGGAGGTAGGAAGTTGTGTGAAGCTGCAGTATTTGAAATGTTACCTGATTTTCAAACAGTGATGTGTAATAAAGGTTTAACAATTAGTTCTCTGGGAAAAAATCCTAATTTTTCCAACTGCCACATTGCAATCACAAGTTACCAAGGTGATATTCCTGTATGCCCAGGTAGAAAGAGATACTAACTATAGTCTTCATAGAACACATATGAGCTTCAAAGAAGGTTTTACAATGGGTTTCTTTCTATTTTGGGGGTGATATTGGTTCTAGCCAAACCAACTTTGGAGCATTTTTGGTACATCCATGTGTTATTTTAACAAAGCTTACCTAGTATGTTAGGCATGGTTCTCCAGAAAGAATCAACACTAGGTGAACCCAGCAGAAAGGAATTCTGGGAATTAACTCACATAGTTATGGAGCATAAGGCATCCCAATATGCCATCTGCAAGAGGAGAAACGCAAGAGTGGGTAGCCTAGTTCATTCCAAGATCTGAGAATCGGGAGAATCAGTGCAAGTCTGAGTCTGAGGCCAAAGGCCAGAATATCTGGAGTTGTGATGTTCAGAAGCATAAGCTAGTCAGAGAAAGAAAGAGACAGAAAGACAGACAGAAAGAAAGAAAGAAAGAGAGAGAGAGAGAGAGAGAGAGAGAGAGAGAGAGAATCTCACAGCTCCAATTGTTTAACTTACTTTAGCGCAGGCATAAGACACAGGAGTAAAGAGCCCAATTTGGAAATTCTTAGACCCAGTACACATGGTGTGGAAAAGAATGGGAGCACAATCCCTAGCCAGAGCCAAAGGCCCCAGACTTAAGGTCTTAGTAGCACCGTTCCAGCCAACTCCAGATGTTTAAGACAACCAGGGTGAGGCTGCAGGCTTTCTAGAACAGTGTCCACTATGTCCTATGCAAATCCTTGAGGCAGAAAACCATGAGCTTAATAAATGTCTGCTAGATTAAATTGCAAAATTCGGGGGCAATAGGAAATAATACATAGCCAAACTTTAATAAATAGAATTCAGAACTTATACAAAAAGAAAATCTAGATGCAAGTTTTATTTATACATAGATTATACAAAGACTGCATAGTTTTTCCCCCCAATGTTTTCTTTTTCTTTAGGATCCAATTAGCTGAATTCTGTCATGATTTAATAAATGCTGACCATGTGCCTTTTCAAAATTAGCTCCACCAAAGCCTGAGATGCTCTTTTAATTATTTTTGCTTAAATTTTGTTTGAAAGAAGCACATTGCTGTGGGCTAGATCCTATTTAAAATAAGTATGTATAGTGTTGGGAGGAGTAAGAAATTGAGCTATTATTTGTCATTATGACTTAGGACAAAAATAGCAGAGGGGTAGGTTGCAGAGTGGGTTGGCCTTGAGGAACCTGGAGACAGACTGGCCTCCAAGTCTCGTTCTTCCTACTGTTATCTTCAGATCACCAGCATCAGCATCCTGAAGCAGCTTGCCAGAGATGCTGAATCAGACTCTGCCCCGGACGTGCTGGTTCAAGCCTGTATTTTCACAAGAGCTTAGCGGATTCCTATGCAATTTAAATTTAAGAAACACAAGTGCAGTAGTCCTCAAACTGAGCACATGTCAACATCACCTGGAGAGTGTATTAAGGTGTAGATCGCTGAGCTCTCATCTCCAGGCTGTCTGATTCGGTAGGTCTGGAGTAAAGCCAGGTGATTCGCATTTCTAGCAAATCTCTGGTGATACCAACATGCCAGCGTTGGTGCAGAGACCATACCTTAAGAACGGTGGCTCAAAAGCATAGAGTAGGCCACTCCAGGGGGAGCATCCTAGTAGAAATTCAGAATTTTGGTCTCTGTTCCAGAACCATTCAAACGGACATCTTTGCTATGATGTATCAATCTGTTCAAGACCTGGGGTATCTCTCTATTGGCTTAAGAATACTTTTTACATTTTAGGAATATTTTAAAGTTTATTTCACAGAAATTTTACATATGCCTCATACATTTATTTGTATTTTTTGCCATTATAAATGGTTTTGATTTTCCATGTTAGCTTCTTTTTAATTGCTAGCTGAACATAAGAAAAGCTATTGTTTGTGTATTATCATTTTATGCTTATCACCTGCTCATTTTATTATTTGTAGAGTTTTTGCAGAATTGGAAAAATATACATTCTGCAGCCCTTCTGAGCTGTGATGAGGTGAATGGCTTTGCTCTCCATGTGTTCCTGACATGAATTCTGCCTTCCAGAGGCTCAAAGTGATGGAGCCAAACAATCCTGGACTGAACCACCGAAACCATAAACCCACATAAACCTTTCTTCCTTAGAATGCTTTTCTCAAAATCTTATCTCAGCCCCAGAAAGCTGACTAACATATTGGTGACTTGGTTTTTCATGGATCAATGACAAAAAAACAGGAGTATAGATGTGATATAAAACTTAATACCTAAACATCACATGTGAACTTTAATTATGTCTGATTTGCAATAATGAACTATAGGAAGAGATGTTTGAAATGTTTAGGGAAATATGAATGAGAATTAGATCTATCACCTGACTATGCTGGATTTTCTTTAAAACATTCCATCAAAAAAGGAGAGAGTTGCACAATGAGGCAAGCCTGGAAAAATATTGATACTTTTGATCCTAGAAGGTAAGTATATAGGATTCATTGCATTATTAGGTTTACACTGTATAAATCTGAAAATTTTCATAGCAGTCATATAACACAATAAATGATATGCTCTCCTCAGTTCTTTTGCTGAAATGGTGCTGATTACTTCCCGCTTGGCTAGAGTTTAGTCTCTGGTATCATTCTCAAAAAAGGGTTCATGGGAATGGTACACCCTGAACCCTTACATCTTCAAACTGTTGACCTCTTTTATATGTGCGGAAAGCTTGGCTGTTCCACTCTTTCTCTCTTCGAATGTGCCCTATGTTATTGTGAGCAGTCTGACTCCATCTCTGTTTTGATTACTAGTATGATCCTTTTGCCTGTGTCCCCAGTGTTTTTTCTTTGTTATTTACTCTTTAGCCGATAGATTTGTAATATATGGTGATTAGATTCAGTCAGGGGTGGTGCACACAGGGGTAACATCTAGCTCAGTTTTATTCCCCACCTTAGCACCCTCTTCTCTCCCTCCTTCCATGCATCCCCTTCCCGTCTCCACAGAGTTCACCTCCCTGCCTCTTAGCACGTTTCTTTTATTTTTCTCTTCATGACATTTGTGTTCTGATTCTCTCATATTACAGAACCAGGTGACAGTCAACCTTCTGTGACTGACTTGTTCCAACTAGAAGTATGGTCTTGAGGTGAATCATTTTCCCACAAATAACTCAAATGTATTCTTTTTCACAACTGAGTAGTACTCCCTTTTGTATAGATGCCACATTTTCTTAATCCATATATCTGTTGAGGTGCAATTTCTATGATTCAGCCATTGTGAGTTGTGCTGCTAAAAATATGAGAATGCATTTATCAACGTAATATGGTGATTTTGACTGCCTTTGGGAAGATATCAAGAAGAGTTATATCCAGGACAAGTTGAATTTTTAGCTTTTTGAGGAATCTTCATGCTGATTTCCATCACGGTGGTTCTAGTTTACATTCCCACCTATAATGCTGAAGGTTTCTTTTTCTGTATCACATTGCCAGCCCTTATTTTTTTTTTTGAGTCCTTGATAACAGCCATTCTTATTGGAGTTAAGTAGAATCTCAATGTTGCTTGGTTTGCATTTTAATTAATGGTCAGTGATGCTGGACATTTCCTCACTTGTTTATTGACCATTTGTTTTTCATGTTCTGAAAACTGTCTATTCATTTCAATTCCTCATTATTGATTGGATGTTTTGTTTTG